GCTTTTGAACCCAAAGGACTCTTGGTCTCTAAGCATAAGCCCACGGAGCAGGGCTTCACTCAGGTGTGTGCACTCTGTTTCTGCTGGCACTGCTGAACTCTGCTGATGGAAGCGTTCCCTCCTGTCTCACCAGGGCAGAAGTGACAGTCCCCAGTGCTTTGTGCTCTGCTTCTGCTGCACAAGTTCTTCCTTTCGGAGCTGTCTTTGTTGCTGCTTGGGGTTTGCTGCGTGTCCCTTCCCACCTCCATGTCCTCCTTGTGCTGTTCTCCAGAGACCCCGAGCGCGACGGGTGGAGCGCAGGCCTGTATTGTGCTGCTTTCCTGTGTAGTTGTTGCTCTTGGCCAGCTTTGCTGGCCTTATTTATAGAGGGGAAAACGCAGAGAGGTGAGGTTCCAGCTGTTGTAATGGGTCCAGTAGGTTCAGTGTGTGTAGACAGCCCTGCGGGTCGGCTCTGCAGCCTGGAAGGTATTTGTGTTCGTGTCATTACTTGTGTCTGGCACCACTTGCTTCCAGCTGAAGATGAGAAACTGCAGCAAAGTGCTTTGTGTTCCTTTGTGGGGCGAAGCTGTGACACTGCCAACTTCAACTAATCCTGGTTTCACTACAAAGCCTCTTAGCAGTTCCCCTCTGCACCGTTAACATTGGAAACCCCACTCTTGTCACCCTGTGCTCATGTGTGATGCTGATGGGTTACGTGGAGGCATGGAGTCTTGCTCCCCTCTTTGCATGAACGTGTGCCCCCGTGTCCCAGTGTGCGAGGGGCAGGCTGGTGGGAGAGAGCAGCTCCTATCTGCAGCACAAAGGTAACTTCTTTCTTCTTTCTTGTGCAGCTGAAGAGGTGGATCACACCCCAACCGATGCCGGCATGGGGGTAGATGTTTTGGAATCGGGTGACACCACACCTCCTACGAAGAGGAAAAGCAAGTTCTCAAGCTTTGGCAAGATCTTTAAGCCCTGGAAGTGGAGGAAAAAGAAAAGCAGTGACAAATTTAAGGAGACCTCAGAAGGTAGAGTCATTGGGGCTGGGTGGGAGCCCCTTCCTCTGCTTGGGAAAGCTGCCACCAGCCATGTGGCTGGTGAGAAGGGTTTGCTGTCACAAGCCTGAGCACTGACACATGGAGGAGCCACAGTGTGGCTTTAGTGCTGGGCTGGCACCTGCAGTCTCTCCAGAAACACCTTGCCACGGAGCAGTAGTTTCAGACAAATAAATGCCTTTCTTGCAAGGAACCTCCCCACGCAGCTGTGGGAGGGAAGCTTTGCTCCACCATCACAGTCGAGTGAAGTGCAGGCCTGGACGTGCAGTCCTTCCTCCCTCCTCTTAATCCGTGCAAAAAGGAAAGGGCAGTTTGAAGCCCGTTGCTTTCCTCCAGAGGATCCCTCTATAAAAGTCTCTCCTTGACCTTCCAGCTTACCCTGTTTTCAATTTACTGTCAGTTTTAGAACGAAAGATCTCTATGCGAAAGCCAAGAGAGGAGCTGGTAAAAAGAGGGGTTCTGTTGGAAGACCCTGAGCAGGGTGAGTCTGCAAATGAACTTCTCCTCCTCCTGTTTGTGTTCTGTGTCACTGATCTTCCTTTGGCAAAGCCTCACACCCGGAGCCAGTCTTTTGGGGAGACAAGTTGAAGGGCTCTTTGCTAATCTGGTTCCTGTCTGTCTGTCTTGCCCTTCTCAATCTGTTCTCCTGTCTGACTTCTGTACCTGGCAAGGAAGGCAGCCCCTGGTCAGTCGGGAGGATGGTGTGAAGAAAATGTGATGCCAATGGGACGACTTCCCATCTGCTGCCAGCAGGGAGGGTGTTGTGTGTGTCACTTCCCCTCCTGTCCCTCTTGTACCTCTCCTGCTCCGGCTGCCTTGTCTTGTCCTGCTAAGCTCCTCTGTCACACTTGCACTCACCATCTCCAGCTTGTTGTGCTCCCACTCCAGATGCGGTGGGAGAGGTGCTGACCCCACAGCTCAGGTTTAGAGGCCTTGGGCTTGGAAGAAGAAACCAGTTGATGACTTTGGAGCTGCCTGGGTAGGGGCATTTCCTCAAGGAGTTACAGACAAGATGCTTCATAGTATACAAGGACATGCAGGGACAGGACAAGGGGAATGGCTTGAACCTGCCAGAGGGGAGACTGAGATGAGCTCTTGGGCAGAAGCTCTTCCCTGGGAGGGTGCTGAGGCGCTGGCACAGGGTGCCCAGAGAAGCTGTGGCTGCCCCATCCCTGGCAGTGTTCAAGGCCAGGTTGGGCACAGGGGCTTGGAGCAACCTGCTCTAGTGGAAGGTGTCCCTGCTGGTGACAGGGGTTGGAGCTGGAGGAGCTTTAAGGTCCATTCCAGCCCAACCAAACCAACACCAAACCATTCTGTGATCTGGTGTCAGTCACAGCAAAGCTTCCCCTCCTGTCGAAGAAGTCTTACCCCCTCTTCTGTCGTCTCTGATGCCTCTGAGGTGGGGCCTCGCTGCCCAAATAACATCTTGGCCAGATCAGTTCACATCCAGTCCCCTGGCTCCGTGGTGGGTGACGTGGGTACAAGGCAGAGGGCAGGAAGCTGTGGAGGGATGGCAGCGTGGTCTTTGGCTTGGAGCAATGTGTAATTGCCCCACAAAAGACACGCTGCAGAGGCAGTTTTGACCTAATACAAACTTCAGAGTTCTTCAAAGAACGATGCAAAGTGGAAAAGTGGGGGTGGAGAAAGTGGTTTTCAGTGCAAACCACTGAAAGAAAAACTGAGAGGAAGAGTCTTAACACAGTTGTTTGCACCTACGCTGTGATGAAAGGCAGCTACAACTACCCCAGGGCAGGAGGAAGAGCTCACCAGGGTGCAAAAGGTCTTGGGATGAAGCTGTGGAAGAGCTCAAAGGCTTTGGGTAACAAACTTCCAACTAGGTGGCAGAGGAGAGATCTTTGGAAGGGTGTAACAGAAGCGTGGCAAAGAGATGGAATGATCTTCTTTGAATCATCTGATCTGGCTTAAGAAACAGAAGATGGCTATAAAGTGGACCAAGTGCAAATGCAAGGAATGAGGGAGCAGTGAGTATTGTCAGGGTTAGGTTAGAAAGCACGTTCTCTTAATCCTTTCTAGCAGTTTAAGACACTTGGGAAGCCATCAGATGGTGATGGGAGGTCATTGTGTTTGCTTGTCATTGCAAAAACCTGTTCTGACAAGGTCAGTTCATTTCCTTAGGTGAGTTATTAGGGGGGGAGATGCTGGCAACTCTTTCTGAGGAGTGAATGGGGAGGTAGGGAAGGGGTACAGGGGAGGCTTCCGAACCCAGTGCAGCCAGAAGAGGCCCTGCTGGGCTCTGGGCTGGTGGGCAGCAGGTTCTGCTGGGCTCAGTGGCTGCTGGTCCAGATGGAACTACAGCATTGGACTTGCCTTGACCTTTAAGGAGGTCCCTGGGACCAAAGTCAAGACAGGTTTGGGTGGTAAAGAATGCAGGATCATGCTGGTGCCATACACTGCAGCTGCTAGAGATGGTACACTGAAATGGAGAGGGTTTAGAATCAAATTGCTGAGGTATCTGCTCAAGTGTCCTGAGTTGGAAAGCAGTCCCACTAGAGTGGGAATAATACTACCAGTAGTTTGGCCTGTCAGGGAAATTAGAGGTTTAACTAGTTGGTTGGTTATTTCCTCATGGTAACCAGGCCTTTCAGTGCTCTCAGAAGCATAGGATGGGTCTTGCTTCTAGGATTTGGGAAACTCCATGCTAGGATCTGCAAAAGCAGCAATAGTCCAGATGAACTACAGTAGATTCTGGAGATGTATCATTACATCTGATTCAAATGAAGGTAAAAAGGGAGGAAACACACCTTGCTGTGGGATGTTTGGAGTAAAACAGGGATTTTTGTGCCAAATTCAGGGTGGAAACAGAAGGGAAATAGAGGTGCTTCAACTAATTTTAAGGCTTCCTCAAAATCTGTTCCTGCACGTCCAGTGGATTACTTGGCTAGTGCTGGGATTTGTAATGCAGCAGGGGGGTTGTGAGTGCTCTGTGGTGGTGGGACACAGAAAAGGCTTACTGGTCTTAAGTGCAGTAGCAAGGTGGTAGATTAAGCTGCTGAAGAAGAACAACACTTGATGGGATGTGGTGTTGTACTGGTTTGCTTGTGGATAATGACATCAAGGGCTCTCAGCTTCAGCTAGCTCGTGTTGCTGTGTGCTCCTCTGCAGAAGGGAGACTGAAGACCAGCTGGTTTGGTCTGGATTAATGGTGGTTCAGTGTCCTTCATCTCCTGCCTTCTGAGTGGTTTCTGTTTGCTTCTCCCCCCTCCCATCCCCTTGCAGATGGGGAAGAACCAGACAAGCTGAACCCGCCCGCACTGAAGAATGGCCACACAGTCCCGATCGGTGGTCCTGGGGTTTGTAACCAAGAGGAGGAGGCCACAAAGCCATCCAGCCTTAGGAAGCCTGTTCCAGCTGAGGAACCAAAGAAAAGGCAGGGTAAGAAAGCAGATGTGTGTGAAATCAACTCCTTCACATTGTCCCAACACCTGTTCTCTCTCTCGTCTGGTTCTTCCCACCCCTGTTTGGGCTCTGCACTCTCTTTAACCAAGCTGTCTCACATGCAGGCTCCTCCAGCAGCCACTCGGGACCCGAACTGGAACCACCTCAGGAGCTCTATGTTCCCAGGCAGCCTCTGCTTCCTCCAAAAAGACCTCCTTCCACATCCCAAGAGGCAAATGAAGCACAGGCGAAGGACCCAGCACCTGCCCCCTCCACCACAGCCCTTCCTGCAGCAAAGACAGTCAATCCCACTGCTGCCCCTTCCCCAGCCCCCAGGACTCTGCCCCCTGCTCTCACCAGTGCCAACACTACTGCTCCCACGAGTACAACCAGCACAGCTCCTGCCAAACAGCCACCCGTCCCCCCTCCCAAACCTGTCAACAGGAACAGCAACTCGGTAATAGGTGAGTGCATCCCTAATCTGGTCTTTGTACCCTGGCATCATTGAACCTCAGCCTGGTTTGGGCTGGAAGGGACCTTAAAGCTCCTCCAGCTCCAACCCCTGCCACGGGCAGGGACACCTTCCACTAGAGCAGGTTGCTCCAAGCCCCTGTGTCCAACCTGGCCTTGAACACTGCCAGGGATGGGGCCGCCACAGCTCTTCTGCAGCACTTGCTCTGAGAGTCTCTTCCCTTTGTAAAGGAAGGTTTTCAGGATGATGTGGATTGGTGGATGGGGTTTTGCTTTCTGAGACTGTCATCAGTGAGAACTGATGCTTCCAGCTGCTCTTTGCAAAATACACCTCAACGAAGCCACCAAAAACTCCACTTCATGCCAAACCATGGCTGTTACAGCTGTCACTGCTGGGCCATGTGGTTTCCACGTGGAAGCCAGGAGCTGGCAGGGGTCATTCCAGCTTCCCTGGTTATACTCAGGCTCTTTTTCCAAGGCCTGTGGTTAGGGTATTGCCATGTTAGTCTTGTCCTTAAGTCTTGGCCCATGGGTAAATCAGCTCAACTGTAATTTAAGCTGAATCTTTCCTCTTACAGGATTAAATGCCTTTATCTTTGCATAAAGATGCAAAGTAAATGGCACAACTCGTGTGCAGTCCATGCTTTACAGCACACCTCCTAATCTTGGGATTGGATTACCAGTGTATGGATTGGGACAGAGGTTCCTGGGAAGGTCAGTCAGGTCTGCACTGTTACCACAGAAACTGGAGGCGTTCCCCAGGTGTGGTTTGGGAGGCAGTGGTAGGAACTAAGGTGTGCAAGTTACTATCTGAAGTAGCCTGTCAGTATAAGCTGCGTCTCTGCTCTGCTTGGAGCTTCTCCTTGCTCTAGCAGGTTTTGCAAGTGACCTGGATAGGGAGTTGAACACTCCTCTATGCTGGCCCAGCCCAATTAGTCTGCCCATGCCCAAGCACTCCATGAAATGCTTGTTTTCTTTAAGCTGCCTGCACACATCACAGATGGCATTTGAAGTGCCCCGGTGCTCACTGCAGGAGGTACTTGTGGGACAGAAACCGACACTGGAGACAGCAGTCTGTCAAACCCAGAGCCAGCCTCTGCCTCTTCCCAGCCATGCAGGGCTGGGCTCGGGGCATCTTTGACTGCAGGGCTGGAGAGGAGAGCAGCCAGCCCCTCTTTTGTCTCCTGCATGAGAATGCAGCTGCAGAGAGGGGCTTTGCAGCTCCCTGCAGGGCTGTGCAGGATGGAGCTGTAACCGCGGCACACGTGCAGGCATTGCTGTGCAAGCTTTGTTTGCTGCTGTGGATAAAGAGCAGCAGTGGAATTGGTTTCATGAGCTCTCTGCAGGTCTTTGCTGCGTGCTCTGACTTGGGCATGTGTGTACTTTAGTGCTGCTATTAAAACCCAAGGCAGGGGAGGACTGTTAATGTGCAGCTCGCCCCTTTGTTCCCTAGTGAAGATGCTCCCTTATGTTCATTCTCTGAGCAGTTCTGGTGTCTGGTGCAGTAGCTGAAAATAAAGCTCAGGAAACACTTTTAGGAAGTGGGAATTTAATCAGCATCAGCTTGGAAAAGCAAGCAGGGTGAGTGGGGCTGGCTGGGGCTGGTGCCATGGAAGGGTTTCAGGAGCCGCTGTGACTGCAGGCTGTTACCGTGCCTGTGCCAGGGCACTGGCACTGGCCATGGGGGCACATCACAAGTGGTTGTACCAGTTGGTGCACTGGGTTTATCACGCCAAAGGGAGGCAGGGCTGCCTGGGAGGATGCTCTGAGCCCTTTTGTGTCTTCCTTCCACCAGCTGCTTGGTCCCTGTGGTTACCCAAAGCTGACTTGAGCCTGGTCCTGCCAGCCTTCAAGTGCTGCTGCGGAGATACCAGCGTCCCTCTGGGCTGCAGGTGATGAGAGCTGAGGGCACTCGGTGTTTTGTGCAATCCAGCCCTTAATCTACAAGGGGGAAGTCTGAAAATGCTAAACATCCCAAAAATGCACCCACCTCTCTGCAGTTAACGCTGCCTTATCTCGGTCCCGCTCCCTGCTCGCTCGCAGCACCCTCTTGTGGTGCCTGGGACTGCGGATTCCTCCCAGCTCTGTGCTGGGGCTGCTGCTGTGTGACCATCACAGGTGAAATGTGCAAGGAATCCTCTTCAAGCAGGTGGGCAAAACCTTTCCAAGGCCAAGAGGCTGGTGATAACTGAATGTTAAAGGCTACGAACTCCTAAAGCAAGAGCCGTCCTCACTGGAGTGACTTCCCTAGGCACCAAGGGGTGTTGAGGAACCTGAGGTTGCGGGCTGCAGGCAGCTTCCATGATAGTCCAGAGTCTCCATTTCTCCCTCTCTCCTCCGTCACGCAGCAGATGAACTCTCCCGGGTGTATTTGGAAGTCTGCAGTTGCAGAGAGATTTCTTTGGGGCTTAGGGAGTGGAGAACAGAGGGAGCAGAGCAGAACCTCACCCTGGAACAGGCAGCAGGGTGTCCTTGGGGTGGGTCTGGCAGATGAATGGGAATGGGGAGAGCACGTTGCTGCTGGCAGTTCTGCTGACTCTGACCTTTGAGTAAGGAGTGTTTCATGTGCAAGGGAGCCGTTAACATGACTGGAGGCTGGGGTGTCCTGGATGTCTCACATTCCTTTGCAAACTGATGCTGTAAATATAGCCATAAAGTGCCCTACATACCTGCATTCCTTGGCTGAGGAGCAGTGCTGGGCTGGGTGAGCTCCATCTGCTGTCACTTGAGGGCTGGTGCTTCTTCTCCTTCTCCAAAGCAACAGGATGCACAGACCTCTCCCAGCTGGCTTGTTTCTGGCTCATCTCCCAAGTCTTACCTTTGCTGCAGGAAGGACAAACTCGAGGCTTTCAACCTGGTTGTTTCTGGCACTGTGTCCTAGCAGAGAAGCAGTATGGTCCCAGGCTCTGAGTGCTTTGCCATCCTTATTCCACACTGGTGAAGGATGTCTGGAAAATGCCTTGTTAAACAGCGGCTTTTATGGTTTTCCTTTTCAGCTGAGCTTTCTCAAGCAATGAACAGTGGTACAAGCTTGTCTAAGCCTTCCCCGCCTCTCCCACCGAAGAGAGGCCTCCTGCCT